TCATATTCAACAACTGCAGATGGAGCACTCTATAGGCGACGAGTCAAATGGGAATGTTGAAAGAGAATATATTAGCACTTCTCAGGAAAATCCGGAGCAAGATTCTTCCTTTGACGAAACGGACAAGCTCTTGGTCAGTAGTTGTACAGGATGGTGCTATAAAACTTACAATTTTATAAAACTCTTTTACAACAATTACAATTTCTGTAGCTGTCCTTTGAATTTCACTGCAAGGCTAATGTGTAAAACTTCTGTAGAACGGGTTGGTTTAAATCCAAATAATAAAAAGAAAGCAATAAGAAAAAAAAACACACTTTCTCACACTTTTTTGGAAACAAGCGATTAAATATTAAAAACAAGGTTTCGTGGACGAGAATACTGTTAGACAAATAAACCCTGTTAAAGAACGAGATTTCCAAGAATTTTAAAGCACCATAAACATAACAAAAAATAACAACAGAGCCAATATATGTTAATCCTCAACCTGATAGCGGCTTAATTTAGGAAAAACGGTTACTAGCAGCAGCTGCAAATGGGCAACTTAAAATTGTACAGGGATTAATAATTGCTGAAGTCAATGTGAACGCGCAAGATACGAATAAGGTAAGATTTTTTGAAACTATCTGAAACCTTTAGTGTCATATTTGTTACACAGAAAATAATCAATTTGAGATTATGCTACTTATGGTTATCACTAGGTTACCAAACTTTTTACTTTAAACTGCTGCCATTAATATATTTGTACAGACATTATGCTTAATTACACACCACATATATGTAAGGAGTTATTTCATAGAACAATCAACTACAGAAGTGCTCAGAATAGACATGCTTTTACGTTTATTCAGTATGAATAACTTTTACACATGTCAACAATTGCCTTTTTCTGTCTGCAAAATTGCCATATGACCAAAACCTTTTTAAAGATTCTGGCCGTCACTAAACTGGACATTCAAAAATGCACACAATCAATTTACTGCAGAACCGCTGTTGCTTTAACTTTTCCACTCGTTTGTTCTTAAGCTACAATTTTCCCCTCCTCAATAAAAACAAAAAATTGAGGTCTGGAAACAGCAAGTGAGATTCTCAAAACTTGTTATTAAATGACTAGAAGGC